CCCCCGCCTTCACACGCGTCCGCCTCACTGCTGCCCTACCCCCAAGCCGCCCCGCAGCGCCCCCCGCCGTCCGCACTCCCCGCTCCTTCCCCACCTTGCGCACAATGTTCTGCAGGTTCCGAAACCCGTAGCATTTCGCCCCCTTGAACACTACCTTCCCCGTGTCCTCCTCTGCGACCGTGTACTCCTCATAGTCCGCGTTCCTGATCATCTTTACCGAGATCGTGAGCCGTGTTGGCGATGCGTGCTGCAGGTGCGCCATGATCGAGTGCAGGTACGACCCCGACGACGTCCCGGGGTGCTGTAGCAGCTCGGGCAGGTGTGTCTCTTCCGATGCTGGTAATCGCTGAGCCAATCCTTCGAGCTCGCCTGGCACAGGGAGGCCCAGGTCCCACCCTTTTTCGCGCATCATCACCTCCAGTTCCCCGGTGGTGATAACACAATCCACGTCCCGCGTCGCGTACATTTCATTATAGAAATCCTGCCTCGACGCTTCTAGCTTCTTGTCGTAGCACGGCATCACCGTAACGTGGTAGATCCCGTCTGGGCTGTAATCATAACCGTAACGTTAATAGCTTTCTTGAAGGCCAGAAAGAGTCTCGAACGCACCTCCGACCCCATTTCTTGCCCATCCACTCCTTCACCAGCGTCCCCATCACCTGCTGCGGGCTCTTCGTCCGCGAGATGAACGGCAGCATCTCCGCGTGCGCCTTTTCCGCATAGCATATCCACCCCGGGCACGCACTCGCAAGCATCGGCAGGTGGCTCTGTTCCTCTCCTCCTTCCCCACTCCCGGACCGCGCATCCGCCTCCCGCCTCTCCAAAAACTCCGCAACGTGCTCCTTCAGCGCCAGGTGCCGAGCGAACGTCGTATCAAATACGTGCATGAATCCAAGTGAAGATGTAAGGAAGGCGTGTACCCGCCGGAGGACCTGGCGGGGTGTTACGGGTGGGTGGGACTTGGTTGACGATGATGAAGAGGGTGCAGCGCTGAGTGCGGCCGCGAGCGAGGCGAGGGACTGCGGTGCGATGGACACGACAGGGATTTTGGGTGTGCAGGACGCAGCATTTGAGGAGAGGAAGTTGAGCACTTCGGTGTGCGATTGGAGGGTGATGAGGACGGACTCGGCGGACGTTATGCAGCCACTGCAGTCGCGGGGAAAATGAACGTCAGCAGGCAATGTTGGGAACGACAGACGACGAAGGAAGGGACGGAAGAGGGAAGAAAGTTGACCCACCTACACGCAAGACAGTCGTTCAGGCTGATCTGCGCCGGCGCCAGCTTCGTCGGCGACTCCTCTCTCGACTCACTCCCAGTAGCACTAGATAACCCATCCGCAGAGACCTCATAGTACGCCCCGCTCGAGTCAATGAGGATCTCCGTCTACAAAGACCCCACCCACAAAAAACTAACGCGTGAATACTTCCACAAATCAGTCAGCGTAAGAAGAAGATTTCACCCACCGACGCAGCCCCCGCCTCCCTCTCCTGCGTCTTCGGCTTGTCCTTCTGCTCTACGGGCTTGATGCACGCCTGCGAGGGCGTAATAAAGTCGTTGAGGTCCGTTAGTGTCTGTTCATACGGTCGTTGGTGTACGGGAAGGGAGGAGAAAAGAAGGAAAGCCTGAGTAGGGGCAAGAGATAGGCAGAGAGATAACGCACGAGGGCCCCGGAGAACGCCATGATGCTCAGAAGGGGATGAGAGAAAGAAGGAAGCTGGACCAGGACAGGAAGAGTGCGATTTCGCATGTCCGAAGAGGCAAAGACCTATTGGATCCGAGCCCCGAGATAAGATAAGATGAATTGGGACTGATTTGCCGCTCTACATGCACTCAGTATTGGGTCAAATGCCGTCTATCTCGACCACGTTCACCGTTGTGAATGACCAAGCCGCCGCTGGGGATTTTCCAGAGCACCTATCCAGCGACGAAACAGGTTCTGCCCCAACAGACTCTAACGCTGGACGAGTTCACGCATTGCCATCAACGGTGGCCGAACTCCCTAACGAAATCCTACTGCACTGTTTCTCATTCATGGTTCTCAAGACGCTTATCATTTCTCGATGCGTCTGCGCAACATGGCGCACCTTGGTTCCGCTCGCCGAGCTCGACCCTCTCCGGCGGCGCCTCCTTGACCTATACGACACTGTCATAAATACCTCCTACTTCCTCGAGACGCGCCCGTGGACACTGGCCCACCTCGACCCGACGTTCGACCGCGAGGCGTACATCGCCGCCCTGGACGCACAAGATCCCACCCTCGGCGTCCCCGCCGACTTCCGCATGTTCGTCCTCGAATGGCCCGCGTGCGCCGCCGTCCAGTCCCTCTGGCCCGGGCTCCCCCTCCTCGAGTGCCGCAAGTCAAATATCGAGCGCAGGAAAAGCGTCAACTTCATCGCGCGCATCCCACCCCCGGGCCACCTCGAGCTCTCCGCGCTCACGTACAAGCTCGACTACCCCGGCGTCGCGTTCGTCCCTGCGCTGCTCCTCTGGCGGAACGACGGCGACAGCACGGATTGGCTGATATTCGACGACGACCGCCACCCAGAGCTCTCCGGCAAAGTCTTTGCCATCTCGCTGCGCCTTGACCCCGACCTCGTGCCCTACTGCGAGTGGGGAGACGGCCCCGAGGACTGGACAGACTATCGCGTTTTGGTACCGAGAGGCGACTACAGTGATTTCAATGTGTTTCACGATTGGATCGAATATCTGCACCGGATGTGGCGCGACCTGGGTATTTGCAGACCTTTTGGCCGGGTGTCTCGCGATGTGCTGCCGCATGATGACGCTCCGGTGTGCTTGGAGGGAAACGACGACTTTGCTGATCGCACCCACTGTGATATTCCGGCGCCTCCGTGGACCAGGCGAAGGGAACCCCAGTTTTGGAAGTGGTTGCGGCTCGAGGAATGAAAGGGATTTTATACCAACATCAGCAAAAGGGGCGGCACGGTTCTGGCGTCGTTCAGGTCTCAAGCAAGCTGCCATGATACTAAGGGGATGGGAAAAGTAGGAATGGGAAGAAGAGGCGTTTATATTGTGACGGACTGGGGTTTGTGTGTTCGAAGCGCCCAGGAAGCGCCCAGTATTCAATCAGATAAGATTACAGTGTAACGGCACTCCTTGATACAGGCTAAGGTCATCTCCGATTTTAAAGACAGATAGGTCACTCACTGCAAATTAAAGTTGATATTATTTTTCCACAACATATTGCGAGTACAGCTGCCAATTTTCAGCTCGATTGGCCACGATTTGGGCTTACAATGCGTCTCGCAAGGAAAGGCAGCTTTTTGATGGCAAATCACTCCTTGATACACCTGCATCACCGCTAAATCTGGCGGGTGGGAAAGTCCAAATGATGCACTTCTCTACCTCGTTTGGTCTCTTTGGCCTGTTTCTTCTCAACACGGCTGACTTCCGGGCCCAAAACTTCCCTACATTTTGCCTAGTATAGAAAGAATGTACTGTAAATTTATCGCGAATTTTGCGCGCCTCAATTTGTGACAGGGCCTGTGCTCCTTAGCGGAACACCCTCAAAATCATGTCCTTTGCAGGTTTTGAAAGCAATAACATTCCCCACCCTCCAATTTTTATTTAGACATTAGAGTTGATATAACAGCACTGCTGTGTAAAAAATCTAAGGATTTGAGGGGGAATTGGGTCCAGGATGTGGACTGTATCAAGGAGTGACGGTGTTACACTGTAAGCATCTGCTATTCAGTGAGGGAAGGCTCGCTGCGCACACAGAGTTTCGCCAAATCAGTTGTATGTAGTGCTCGATTTCCTGTATAAATGTATCATAGGACATCAATATAAGCCTAAGTATATGGTCCACAACTGTCGGGACGGTGCTGGAAATGTACATCATGGCATTAATCCACCATTCCACACAACTGATTGACAATCATCATCCCATTGGACAACTTGGCTCTGGAATGGGCAATAGAGGTGTACCATGTTGATAAGCCCCCCCTTTCCTGACCCCATCTGATGTGAATCCTTAAGACTATGCATGAGAACGGCGCCAAGATGGCCTCAGACATCAGAGAAAACAGGAAAACGGGCTTTCTCCTTATTGGGGTTAGATGCACATGTCAAGGTGGCAGGTGACTGTACGGCCTTGCAACCCTTTGTCCTCAACCATTGCAATTTTCGAAGTAATGCAGACACCGAGCATATTATGTTGGGCTTTCAGTCAGTGGAAAACAATGTAAGTTGCACTCAACCATGACACCAGAGTTCTGATGAGGGTATCACAGTGTTTTCTCAATCCAATTTCGATGATAATTGCATTGTTCAAGATCCTTCATGTTTCTTCATGATTGTGCAACTGCAACATCAGCAAAACCAACAGAAGTATAGATCACAATATATAGTAAAATATAGTTCAAAAATTGCCTGATGATCACAAAGTTAACAACCTGGAATACATTGCATTTTAAGAACACTCCAGATCAGTAAAGTTATACTAAGTTTGCGTGAAGGGACAAACTTGGTATACCTTTTATTTCAATAAATTGCTATGCAAAGGCAAAGGGCAAGAGCCCGAACCGAGCTTCACTGGGCAAAAAATAGCACATTTAATTCACCACACATGAGACTCGAACACAGGCCCAGAGGACTGCTTGTCCCACACACAGACTCACAAGCACAAAGGACAGCACTCAAGACTCTTACACCATCTCACCAATGTTAGTTGAGTGCTAATTTAAGAGATATCACCCTGGCTACTCCTGTAGGCATTTCAATAGCAGCGCTCAACACGACTAACTGAGGTTTACCAGGGCCAGGGAAGGGGAAAGAAGAATTATCCACCATAAGACTGACCTGAGGACATGTACTAAATTCCTGGTGAAGCTTCCATTGCAATATAAAGTTGGCCAAAGTTCAGATGCATGATAGATTGACGACCCAACTTATGGTGCAGAATCCATGGCATGTCCGAACTTTGCACCATTTATGGATACACATCGAAAGATTTGTGCAAAATGTATTGTGAACACAAACTTGGGGCGTAAAAAATATTTCAGCTGGAAACTTCGCCACCTTTCCGACAGGATCACTATATTTCTCCATCTAATCTATTGTTTCTGCAAACTTTCTTTCACATTGAATTACAATGAAAAGGGGAAATAAGTTTGTGTGAATATGAATTGTTCCCGATGCAGTGTATACTTTTGTCGGGTTTGCTGATGAACATCTTTCTAGATACGCCACACCAAGGATGAAAGGTGCCTTCAGCGCTCATGCTCTCACTTGTATCTGCTGATAGGCCAACTCTTCTGAGTCTGGACCTTTGCACCAACAATGGTCATTGCACAACATTGTCCTTTGTTGCTCCTTTTGCCAATGCACCCTGGTCGTCTTGCTGCTGTCACACACACAGCAGAGGACTTAAGAGCTGCTACAATTTCTCGAAATATACACATGACTAATGTTCCATGACACGATGCCGACACAGTGGATGGGCTTCATCGAGACTCACAAGCAGCCTGCTTCTGGACTCAGAGCTTGGTGTTGACAGTGCTTGTGTAAGAGAAGGCTCCAGAGTCTTCACTTTCCCATGTTGAAAAAGACGGTTGGTCTGTGCACGGAACTTGGACCCAGAATAGGCACCTAGGTTAACCAACGAGTTCATAATGGACACTGCCGACGAATCCAGAGAGCCCTCGAGACGATGGATTCAAGACCTGAAAATCTGTATAAAGTGCCACGGTTCAAGCTCAAGTGCTGCCTCTTCATTGGTTCACCCGACTTGCCTCTCTTGACATTCTTGTAGCAGGAATCCCTCGAGCCCTTCTACTGTGACGATGTGAGTTGTATACTATATTGTGGGTGTGTCTTCGAGGCAAAGTTGTCATCCTGATACATAAATTCCTTGATATAACCACAAAGTTCTGATCAATACACTGCAGCTAAACCTTCCGATGTACATTATACATCGGCCCCTCCCCCTCCCCCTCCCTCAGAATGATCCCAAGCATAAATCCGATCCCACTTGTACATGGTCGACCTCAGTGGTTTATTCATAACCACTGATTTATTCATAGATGCACACCTGCTTGTTAGTGCCACCCAACGGTGTTTATTTATAAAGTCAGTGTCCATTGAAAAATGTTTAGCTTTGTACTTGCGCCCCGAAAGAGCGCCCATTGATAAATAGCGACATTTGTACTTGCACCTATCCCGCACTTATTCATCATCCCTGCCCCATGCTTCCCCTCATCCGGCCTCTTATCCTTTGCTCTCCGACTTATTCTTTGCACCTCCGAGCTTCCTTCTCTTATTCATTGCCCCGTCTTTTATCCTTCCTCCCATCATTATCCTTCACCCCCGGCCTTATCATTGTGCTTCATTTATTCATCGTTCCTTCTCCCATTCATCGTCCCCCCTCCCTATCCATCGTCCCCTCCCTTATTCATTGCCTCCTCCCTTATTCATTGCCCCACCACTTATTCATCATTTCTTCTCCTATTCATCGTCCCCCTCCTTATCCATTGCTGCCTCCTTATCCATCGTCCCCTCCTTATCCATCGTCCCCTCCTTATCCATCGTCCCCTCCTTATCCATCGTCCCCTCCTTATCCATCGTCCCCTCCTTATCCATCGTCCCCTCCTTATCCATCGTCCCCTCCTTATCCATCGTCCCCTCCTTATCCATCATCCCCTCTGTTATTCTTTGCCCTATTAATCCCCCCACTACTTATCCATGGTCCTGCTATTTATCCATTGTCTTATCAATTCATCGCCCCTTCTCTTATTCGTCGCCTCACTACTGATTCATCGTCCATCACTTATTCATTGCCCCTCGTCCTGCTATTTATTCATCACCCCTTTTCTTATTCATTGCTGTGCTACTTATCATTTGCCTCTGCTTATTCTTGCCTCCGCTTATTCATCGTCCCGTTACTTGTCCTGCCCTTATCCTTTGTCCCCGCCCTTTATCCTTCATCCCCACTCTTATCCTTCGCCCCAGCTCTTATCCTTCGTTCCCACCCTTTATCCTTTGCCCCTGCCTTATCCTTTGCCCCTACCCTTATCCTTTGTCCCAGCTCTTATCCTTCGCTCCCGCCCTTATCCTTTGTTCCCGCCCTTGTCCTTCGTCCCCTCCCCTTATCCTTGCCCATTGCACCTTTGTGCTGGCCCATTGTTTTTGCTTTGAGATTGATGACGTCTTCGGCAATGACAGTGGCGATCCCGAAGTCCCAAAGCCTGGGGTGTACACCTGGCGAGCCCTTGGGTTATCAATAAATGCATTGCTACTACATATAAAATTTTCAGTTTGCTTGCGCCGCTGGGCCTCGTTCGAGACTGTGCTCAACCAAAACATGGGCATTGAACCCCACCATAACCCCCAATCGTTCGCGAACCCCCGTCCACATACCCCTGCAGTAGTCCAGCATTCTCTGGCGGACAGCGTTTTGACGATATGCGTATGCAACCCTTCCCTCCCGCACAATTTCCATCAATGTGAATTCCAGCTGGATCAGCGGCTCGAGCGTTTGCTGACTGGTGAATACCTCGGCCTCGTGATCTTTCACAATCTTCAGCCAACGCGCTGCTTCGACTTTGAATGTCACAAGAACACGCCGCATTTCTTCTTGCAGGAGCAGACATTCTTCTTGCCAACGATGCGCACGGGCATGCACCTTACACCACTCTACTCGAAGAGCTGCAAGAGCGATCATTATCTGGTAAGCCAGCGGTCTTATGACACGCACCGTCTTCTCCACTTGCATCCATGTTCGCGCCAGCCCCCTGCACAGTCCAAATCCATTTGAGCTTCTTCCAGCCTTCCGGCCCCACATCATCGAGCGATGTGAGACCCAGAAGATCAGAATCCTTGAGAACGCGCAATTCTTTTTCCCAATTTACTTCAGCTAGAGGTACGGAAAGGGAAATCAATGCCCGACGAATGAGCCGATACCAATTTGCCGTATTATCGATCTTAGTGCTGACGTTCTCAATGAGCTTCATGCTCCAAGTTTGCTGATGTTGGCCCCGCGAATGCCGTTCTTTTGATTTGTACATCATAGATCTCATGAGAAGTTGCCCGCGAGGGTCGTTAAGAGCCACGTGTGCACGAGCGTAATGAAGTTGCCACTCATAGCGCAAGAAAACGAGGGGATATGTCACTGTCTCATGTATCTGGGAGGGTAGGAATAGGTCAATGTCCTGAATGGCCACAGGTTTACTGCCTCCTTGCTCTTTGATTCGTGCCCAAACCAGAGCGATAGCTGGCACGTAGAAATGTTGAATAAGGACCCAAGCATCAATGCGCCTTTGGAGGGCATTGGACCGCTCGAGGACTTTAGCGTGCTGCAGTGTAGTTGAATGAATGCCCAGTTCAGCTATTTCCAAAGCCAGATGTCGCCTATTTTCAACTTTAATTAGTGGCAAAATAGGAACATATCATGCAGAACACACTGCTGGGCTTCGATCTCGAGGCCCTGATAGATGAAAAAGCTTGGAGTGATTCTACTGAAGTGCGTCGTGACATTTTCCTTCTTTGACAGGTCTTCTTGGTCCTCCTCCGCAAGTTGTAGACAAACCTCAGCATCAGAGAGCACTGCAGGAGTTTCAGGATTTCCAGAGACACACTATCAGCTTTACTCGCCTTTTGCACTTGATTGGAACGGATTTGGCTTTGTTCTATCTGCCGATTCATGTGGGAGAGCAACATCGAATTCGATGAAGGCCTCCACATGTTCTTGTTGGGCCAGTATTGCTTCCTCGGCCTTCCGCAGAAAGAATTCAGCTATCAAATCAAGTACATTTAGAACGACTGCCAGGTACAAAGATAAACACATCTCAATCTCATACCAAATGCCATTTTCTTCCACCAATTATAATCGCCAAACATATCATCAAGTGTGTCCTGACGAGAGCCTGGGCCCATTTCCCTGGTGCTGGCAGCCACGGAATTCACGGCAGACCAGCCTCGTTCTGGTGCTTCGCCATTGGTTCTCCCACTCCCAGGAATGAGATTAAAAGAGTACTCAATCTGACAGCTGGCAACGTGGGCTGGAAGGTGGAATTTCGGTACCAAAAAATCAATTTGCAGTTCTGGGCGACTAGAGATCACGTTCTCGGGGTAAATACTGCATCGTTTCTTGGACCATTGACATGCTATATCGTAGGAGACCATAATGCGTGAGAGGGTGTTCCCTCGCAGGCCAGATAAGAAGAAGTAGTCCATGTTAACATAACTAGCCTCGCGTCAGTGTGGGACATTAAGTAAACAGATGCCACCCACTGTTCCCCCTTCTGCAAATCACCGACAGATACTGGTCGCTTCATGTCGTGCCGGCTACACTCAACAGTGCCCAACCCGCTGGCTGCTGTGCCTCTCCCTCCGTGGATATTAGCAGACTTGATGGCGTCATGATTGTGACAGTTGCTCTTCTCTTCCTGGATTGCTTTGCCGTATTCCCGAAGGTAGGCCTCATACTTTGTGTTCTCAACCATGTAAGCGTAACCGTGGTTCAGGCCAGGGTCCCGCTCGTCGCTCGAAACATTCATGCGTTTCAGTCGGAAGTTGGCGTCGATGCCAACAAACAAAGAATAGAGCCACCTGTACGTGAATGGGTCAGGGCTTGTATCAATCAAGGTGCGGAACAACCTTACTGCTCTTTGGCTGGTTGTTGTTCCCAGTTCTCTGGTAGATTCACCCCTGGCAATGGGCAAGCAGGGCAAACAACAGCGCACTCTCCTTCCTTGGTGCCTTGAACTCCTGTCGGATCATGTCCCCGGGCGAAGTGTTTCATTAGACGGACATGACGCCATTCATGTGCCATCCGCATAAAAGCTTGATAACGGTCCTGTCATCTGGAGTTATTAATAGAAATGGATCCACAATGAGGTGTCTCACTGGAGGAGTGGCCGTGCTGGTATTGTCAGTTCTTCAGGCAAGTGCTTGGTAGAATTCAAATCCAGAAATCTTTGAAGTGAAACCTAGCATTTGGAATGTCTCCAGGACACGGAAGGTGGTGGCAGTGTTTGGGTACGTGGTTGTCAAGGGAAACAATCGTGTGCGAAGGAGTTGAATTGTCTTTGGCATAGATTGTTGGCACCCACAAAAATCCAGACCCACTTCGTGTACGCCATCGGAATCAATAATGACAAAGCTGTCATCGATGGCACGTTCGGGAAGCAGGCACAGCCCGTCCACTGAGTGTCCAAGTTGCACTCGAAATCTGATTTCCTTCAACGAAGTCTTTTCAAAGTATTTTCCGGTCCATTTCTTCAACAATTCAATGGTCTTTCCGACTAGATACAACATGAAGACCCACCTGAATTCGATGGAAAGGCGAATGCTTGTGTGATGTGTGAATACACTCTGCGCACAGAAGGCTGCGCACTTGGCAATCAAGGCAGCGGAACCCAGGGCAGGACAGCATGATGTCAGCGCTGCAGTTCTCCATGGCGCAGACGGTCTGATTTGTGGAATCTCTGTGGCCCTCGAGGCGCAGGAACTCAGAGACGTACTCCTCAATATGAGGCACCCAGAGGAGCAGCGGATGGTCCTGAGAATCACCGGGAATAAGTGTCAAGCTCTCGTTGACCTGAATTACTCACAGCCTGGGTCCGCTGACGTTTCTTGGGGTTCCTGGCATCATTTACTTCCGCTGCTAGCCCAACGACCTCGAGTTCTCGTGTAGAGTCCTCGGCTGAAGCGGTTGCATCGCCATCATCATCAGTGCTAAGGCTGGGCACTGGCAGTGTGGCGCTACTGTCAGCGGTACCCAGCGGTCCAGGGTTAACAGTTTCAGAGGTCGGATCGTAGTCATAAGGGATGGCGAGGAAGCTGTGTGCTACCCGCTGCCTTGGTGCGTACTCAGAGTGTCTCTCCTGGAGGGTTTCCGGGGGAGGACCAGAGGTAGGGGTTGGCGGCGGCGAGGCAATGAATTCATCGTAGTTAGCGCATCGCTTTCCAGGTCGTTTGGAAGGCATGGGGCGATGTCTTCAGACCCCGGCAACATTTGTGATACATGTATATATGGGCAACAAAGGTGAATTGTGACGTCATACGCGGCCTGCTGATTCATGGTTTATCCTCGGTGGGCAAGGAAGGTTGTTGGACAGTGCTTTTCTTAGCGATTGGGCGAGCGAGGGCGTGGACGGCTGGGACCACCGTTGAGGGAGGTATCCTGGGTGAATAGTATTTCCAATCAATGCTCGTTCCATATATCAAGAGAACATACCTTTGCAATTCCACAACGAGCTTCGCAGACGGAGAGATATATTTCCCACTCCTTCTTTGGGGTGGAGGAGAATGCAGCCCATCATAACTGATGGCGAATGTGCTGCTGCATATCAGCTAAAGGCCAGATGCAGCCACTAGCGCAAGTACATACCCATTTGACTATGGTCCAGTAGGCTTCCAAGAAGTCTTGGTCATCGAAGTCTTTGGCCTTCAGCGGCCAGCATATGGACCACAGGTTGAACACACGTGCTTCGAACTCGGTGTAAGTGTGGTTGCTCTTGGCATGCTTGGCATATGGCCCGAGATCCTTAATAAGAGCAAGTTGATCAGCTGTGAACTTGTGGGGCATTAGTCGAGCAATGGGGGTCGAACAAACAGGGAGGGGAGGGGCAAGACAAGTTCAATAGGCAGATTATACCACTAGGCTCCTCTCAGGCCGCCAATTTTGCACGTCAAAGTTAAATATTTCGACGAGAACAAGACGAGAAATCAAATAACAATTTGGCCATCCCTTTGACAGCCATTTTGAAGAGAGCACTGTGGTCAGCGAAAAAAACAGATTTGAGTAATATAGACGTGCCCCCCAACTATTCAGCTAGAAATAAAGGTCAGACGATGCAGGAAATCCGATGTGAAGCAAGTGCAATTAGCACTTGCAGTCGCTCTCTGTCTCTTGCTCTCACCACGCAACATGGGTCGCACCAAGAAGTATACCACACAGGAAGAGAAGGGGGTCGCCAATCATGCCAAAAGTAAGCGGCATTATGAAAAGTATTTTAACTTTAACGCAGTCTCGGCGGCCTCAATGTTAATTGGTTGTATGTTTTATAGGAAAAAGGATGCAATCAATAAGAAGCGGCGAAAGAGGTACCAGAAACCACAGACAGGGTGCAGTCATTCTCCTATTTCAATTGTTCACCTATTAATACACAGCTAGTTCGGCCCAAGGCTCCAAAAATGGCTTGACATCTGCTCGCCCAGAGACTTCACAAGAGACATCCACCCTCACCCCTCTTCAAAGTTGGATGGAACACAGCGATAGGATCAAGAACCGTCTTCACAAGATTATCGGTGCAGAAGCTACTTCATTTCTCAAGGAAACTGTGGGGCACTACCTCGCCGATGAAGACAAAGACAACATCCATGAACACGCAGTTCGACTCGGCAAGCTGCAGAAGGCTATTTATAGGTGTCAGAACGAGGTCTTGGCACTCGCGGGGGTAGGCCCAGAGCACCGTGCTGTCGACAAGACGGTTCAATTGATATGTACGGCTGTAAAGTGGGTTGAAGAGGTGCTATGCTACGCCATGGTAGGATTAGAGGAGGTTCAAAGGCTCCATGCTGAAGGGGGGTTCATGTATCAAAAACCTTAGGGCACACTAAGAATAGCATGAACAAGGCAGGGCACAATGTATTTCGATCATGAGTGTATATATGACAGCGCGGGACAAAAGGCACAATGCGATATACAAAAAAGAAATATAGCACGACAAGGTGGCAGCGACTTCACGGATCAGTTGATAACAACAACTAAGCTGGCTTCCATGGCCTCATTGAATGCCTCGGTTGCAGCAGCCTGGGAGGCATACTTGCGGTACGACGCATGGGGCACGCCGCTGACGAGGGGTTGAACACGATGCCTGCGGCCATGTTAGCGAGTGAGAGGTAAGGGTGTGATCGGACGACGTACCACCCTTGATAAACTCTGACCTCCCTGCCGGCGGTGATTGCACATCAGGAAAATGACTTTTGATCTCACATTACCTGAGCGCACTGCCACAATCCTGAAGCAGCAACGCTGCCTTGGCATCACTTCAGAGATCAGCGGTACTTACAAAGTCCTCCGAGCTCTCTGAGGAAGCTCTGGGGAGGTCTGATATCCTCCCACCAACAGTATCTCCAAAATCATGAATTAAGAACTGTGATTAAGCTATTAGATGGCTAGGAACATATTTCTACTACCATATAGTTTGATACGCATACTTACTTGACCAATTATTAACTAAAAATACCAAGGATTTATCCAGTACATTATCTGAGGTCCATTCAGAAGGCGTTGCGTTAGGAAATAGTGGAGAGAGCATACAGCTCTGATGGATATGACTAAGAGGAACAACAGCACCTGGAATGTGGCCCGCAGTGTCAGGTTCAAGCTTCTTAATGCGATACATCATGCCGTTGGCAGCAGAGGCATTGGCAGCCTGTGGGCTGTACCATTCCACATAGGCAAGAGGTTCTGTAGGCCAGTAGGAAGGCAGCTCTCTTGGGCCTAGTCTTGTGTCAAACTTCTGGGGAAGAGTAAATATGACCCGCAGTCGTCCAACTCTTGTGCCTGGAATATAGATATTAGAAGCCTGTCCCTAATACAACATCTAACAAGGCTGCGCTTACCTTTGATACCAGTGGCATGTGCCGTCTCGCTGACAATAACAACCACAGTGTCAAACCGTCCATTTGGCATGTTAGAAGAGGAGCCAATAGCCTTGATCACATCTTTCTCGTCATCATCATCATGAAGACTAGAAGGAGCAAAATGAAACATATTGTAGACGTTAACCTTACTAAATGGAAGTGCAGTGTCTGTTAGGTTTCTAGCAGAAAGTCTGTCAGGGGATTTTGCGTTCAGATAAATCCTGAGGTGGTGGTCAAAGGAGGGTGCATGATGTTTCTGTTGAACGTCTGACAAAGAACGACCAGGAAAGTTTGGATATTTTGCAATTGTTTTTGTGCGTTGGTTGCGTGGTTTGACAGGTGCAATAGGAGTTCCAGCAGATTTAAGCAGAGATTCAAAACCAGCAACTTTCTCCTGACGGGTGAGCCAGCGAATCATCTGGGGAAATTCATCACGAAGATTGGTCGCCTGCCAGCCATGCTTTGCAAAATCGATGTGGAGCCTTTCAAACATTTCAGTGTTGTAGTTGTCTGTTGTTCCGAAATCCTTGATAGCGTCTATGTAGTGAAGAAGAGAGTGGAACTTAGGAATGTTGAAATCTTTTCGAAGGCCTAGTTGAATGAAATAGTCGCGATGTTCATGAAATTCTTCGATGGCGTTTTGCAGGTATTCTAAAGTGGAGTTGTTGTGTGTCGGGTACTGAGCAATGTATATGAAGTCAAGAAGAGCTGTGATGGCCTTGGTCGCAGCTGAAGGGATACTACCAACAAGACAAGCTAGTAGAATCTTCGCCATATTCTTGCGTTCTGAGCCAGAGATCTGAGATAAAGCAGATATTCCGTTTTTGAAATGGCGGACCCCAAATGAGGGAGGAAGGCAGCGAATGCGTCTGTCGAGCTCGCCCTTAGGAAGGATAAGTTGGCACCAAGAGACGAGATGCTTGAAGACACCCTGGTAGAGCTGGTGTAGAACATCAGGAGTAATGGCGCGATTGATATTGCAAAGGGGGAAACCATCCCAGAAGGGTCGGAAAACCCCTCCAGCAACGTCCGAGGCCATGCAATGTGTGTGAAAGGCTCGTGGATTCCCTCCAGCTTGGGACTTGGCTTCTTCCATAACAGACTTTGTCCATGCTGGGGTACGTGCTTCTGCTGGTTCTGGGTCCTGGAGCTCCGTCGCTTTTGCCTTGCACTTGCAGCAGGTGCTGTATTTTGAGCAGGTGACAAGGCACTGCTCAGGGTAATCCACCACGTAACAGGAAAGAATGGGGAAGACCCTTCGAGTGTCCCCATTTGAGCTATCCATGAGGACGCCTGTCTGACCAGCATTGATAAGAGGTTCAAGAACGATTCGCATGGATTCGTGGAAGATGCGCTGGACCTTTGAGCGATGGTCTTGTTCTGAAAGTCTTGTGCAGTCAAGCTTGTCGACAGAGAGGTATGCAATAAGCACACAAGCATGCTTTGAAGGTTTTCGTCTTGTAGCTTTTGGTATGTTGCCGATTGTAAGATAGACAGGATAGGCAGACTTTCCTCCCGTAAATTGAGTGAGTTGAGTTTTATCAGTTGAGACGATAACGGGTGCCAGCGTCCCCCCCTCAGGTAGCTTGCTCTTGAAGAATGTCAAAAAAAAATTAGGGCATAACACAAAGAGAACGTACCTGCACCGCATTCCACCAACGGCCAGTCCACATTTCAGAAAATATTCGATCCTCTCGAGTGTCGTCGGTATATGTCTTGCATGGTTGAAAGATCATTTCTGGCAACAGCTCTGGGTCCTTCCAAAGGCTCTTGATTGCTTCTACAGGATCTCGATGACGGATGGTAAAGGTTTCGTCAGGCCTATCCTTAAATCGTAGATGCTTGGTTTGCCACTTGCCAGCCTTATCAGGCATAGAATCTAGTTTCTTATGTAGCGCGCAGATGTTGCGATATGAAAGTCCTAGCTTGTTGACAACCTAAGGGTGCTTCAGAAGGTGAAGACATACATAGAGTGAAAATGTCCTCACCCCGGGAATAGCTAGCAACCTGTCAAAGGCATTGTTGCCTGGGCCGTCCCGAACAGCCCACTGCGCAATCCTCCAATCAAGCTCTGAGGTAAAAGGTAGAAATCGCGGGTCTGGCGCATTTGAAGGGTCATACTCCTCCCATGGATCTACTGGAGCTGAAGGAATGTCCTCCTGCTCTAATGAGTCAGTTGGATCCTCATCAAGGGCATCAAGAGTCTCCTCCATGAACCACATGCATTGCGGAGCTCGCGCGAGATGGGCATGAAGATTTGCTGGCGACTTGAAGCAACGGTTGCAGGACGCAGGGCAGAAGTAGCTCATGGAAGGCAGTGGAAGGGTACGACGTGTATTGATCATACGTTCTGTATGTCAGGGTATATGAATATCATGATGATTAGTCAGCATAATAGGGCAAGTAGTAAGAATCTAAAATGGTCTCTACCATGACAGCCTCCCAGGCTTTGCTTGACGTCCAAGCTCGGTCTCCAGACACTCTTTGTCTCTGTTGAAGCAGTTCTCCTTGTTTTTGTGCAACATTGCAATAGCTCTGTCATGGGTGGCAGAGACAACACCTAGTCTTCTGGGTAAATGTTTGCTACAGAGCATGCGTACTGAGAGAAAAACAGCATTAGAATGTGTAAAAAATGACAGGGAATCAATACCTTTTACACTAAACAAGCAGATATGCTTCCATATACGCGTTGGGCGCAGTCTTAGATAGAGAATGGCGCACCGGGTAACCGCCGGGTACTTTGGGGGCTACCCATACCCTTACCCATGGCCGGGTTCATCATGCGGGTTGACAATGAAGCGGTGTTAAATTGGTATGTACATAAGGCAGGTTGCCTTGCAAGAGCATCGCCAAGCGTCAAATGATGTCGTGATGAACAGTTGTGAGGGTGGAGCACTCAATGCAGTCTGCGGTACGAGTTTGTCCTTGTGGGCTGTACGCGTGTTGTCCTATACGCGAAACGGTAGGGTGTTGAGTCGTGGCACGTAAATGACGGCAATGCCATTGAGTGCAAGGTGGAGGGCAACTGGGCGACGGTGGGGTCCGGGTGCACAAACAATAGCGGCGGCTCGGATGCCCATTTGCTTGTCGTTGGGCTCACGTTCATGGTGTGTCGCCGTGTCGCCGCAATGTGCCACACCAGAGTCGCAGCAGCGGGACATTGTCTTTGTCAACCTCGCTGGTGTTCGCATGCAACAGTGAGGTGGTGGGTGGCCAGCGCAGCCGTGGGTTGTGTGGAATGGTTCTGAGCCTTGTTGGGCATCCAATTCGCCGAGCTCTGGGCGGACGTAAGAATATTCACGGTGCATGCTTGTAGCCTTCAATCTAAGTCTCTTCCTGGGCAAGTGTCCACCGACGAAATAGACATGGAGTGTCTAGCCTGGGAGACAAGATGTAGGTCAGCGAGATTGAGACAAGCATCAGCATAAACCTATCACTCACATGCTTCCTACTCCTCCCACCACTCCTCGCACTGAGAATACTTTGGGCCCTTCCATCTTCTCCTTCTGTCTCCTCTGCTTCTTTTCCTACTTGAGCATCATTAACATCTATCCCGGCACCACCTTTAATTTTCCCTTTGGCTCCTTCAGCCGGTCGTAGTCCCAGACGGTTCTTGAGTACCTGTATCTCGTATTCACCCTTGTCATATATGCATTTCGTTTCCACGAGGGTCGTTGTTGCTTCTATCAGGCTGTCGTGCAGTAATCTGTTCTCTCTTGTGGGCATCACCAGCCGAGTGTGCGAAATACCAAGTTCAGTGAGAGCTTGGGCGACCTTGGGAGCCGTGAGCAATGATGGCCTTCGGCACAGGGAGTTTGAAGGCGTGCAGATAAGTAGGTTGATGGGCAGCCTTGGTCGCAACCGCTGCGGATAGTGTTTCGAGCATCTCGAGTAAGGGATGAGCCGCGCGTAGATTGCTCTAATCACATCCTGCTTATGGACATGAGACTGATCATATATCACACAAGCAGACAGCACATAATGTGTCAAGAAATACCCATACCGCAACACGAGACGGCGTGCGTTATCCCCCGCCCCCCAACATCACCGGAAGTCTGCACATTGGCCACACATTGACCGTCGCCATCCAGGACAGCCTCGTACGATGGTACGTCGCGTTTTAATTCGTACGTTCTGTCGTTAATGTGGTGCAGGAACTGTATGCGCCTGGGTTGTTCGTCTGTGGGTCGCGATGTCAGTGTGCAGCAGGAGGACGAACAAGGGGGTGTCTACATACTGTATACCCTGTGTATGGACTTTGCCGAACATGTTGTCAGGGACCACAGGTCGAAGGCGGGTGCGGGCTGTTGTAAGCCTTGAATTGTGTGTACACTCATTGAAGTTGTCGAGTGTCCGTGAGGGTGAAAGCTCAACTGCTCAGGGGCATGGGGGGGCATCTGTGGAGTGTGCGCCATAAGTCAGCTTTGGAATTTGAAGTACACTCAGGGCAGTCACGACTCACTTTGTGGGTCTCCCCTCGCTGGGTCTCCCCTTATGCGCTCTTCCTCTGAGTGCTTGGCTGCTGTTGTGAGGCGGTCATTCAGGTGCAGCCTGAGGGTGTCTGCCTTCATTGTTTCTTGTCATAGCTGAGCGAAAGAAACCCCAAGCCAGAAGGAGAGAGGGAAGTCACGGAGTGAGGAAGTCGCAGAGTGAGCGATCATGAGAGTTTGGCCCGACGGTGGGCCAAACTCTCACGGTCCTTATCTGGTCCCCTCCGGTCTGGCAAAATGCATTGAAATCTTGACCAACTCCCTACTTCTTTTCTTATAAGTCCGTTATAACTCCTTACATTGACATTCCAACTCTTTGACTTGGGCTCACCTTTCTGCTATGAAAGCTCGGACTTTGATGCTGCAGCAGGAAAGATCAGACGAGATGACAGAGAGAGGACGGAGCCTGAGGTAAGTGCCTACCTGCCCATTGTTCGGAGCTCATAGACATTGCTCTTCAAGGTATTTCTCGACTCGCATGGTTGGACATTAGGTAGATCTTGTGTTGTTTTCTCTAAGCTTGGGGGCTAATATTCTCGTGCTCTAGGCGGGCGGAATCAGCATACTGCATACCTCGCCACACCGTCTCAGGCTAGGCTTATGACCATGATGCTCTTGTAGCCCTTGACTCAATACGTACGCCCTGCAACCACCTCTTTCTGTTCTCTTTTGTTCACCATCCCGCTCTGCGAATGTAGCCGCAGTACATGTTAATGGTCTCATCGGCCCTGCTCGACGAGAACATACCCATTCACATCAATAACGCCGCCGGTCTCGCCCTCAAAAATGCGCTGACCACCCGAGTATGTCCATCCTTCTCCGCCCTCAACTAGTGCCTTATCCTCATGCATCTCGCGATCATAGGAAAGCACACGGCAAACAGACATGACAAAAGAGGTTATTTGCAACAAGGGTGTGGGAGCGAATAAGCGGAGGGTGCTGTTCGTCAATCCCTTCTATGTGTAATTACCGCCCGGCGTACGTGAGAGTGGTCTAGATGGAGAAGTGAGCAGACGAGAATGAGAGGAGGGAAGGTTCGTACCTTGGACCCCGCCCTCTCCCGTAGATGACAGATCCAGAATGTATCCGCCAGCCCCTTCCCCTTGAGACGCGCTTCGATGGGTATTACGATCTTCTGACGTTGAGCTAGGGAAGAGGAAGATGAGGGGAGGTTGTCCGAGGCTGCGGAAGCGTCTATCCAACTATGTTGCTTAGACAGAGCGGGTGCCTAGGTTAAGGGTTGTACGTACGTACCTCGTCTCTAGCCTTCATTTCTATGCTGACAACGAGCTGGAAGGCCGCCCTCGATGCCCCGTCTTCGACGGCCACCCGCCCTTGACATGGCGCCTCGGACCCGACACCCAGACACCCGCCCACGTCTTCAAGGTCCAACACGCTGCTGAACAAGGAAGGGGCTATTGAACAGGCGTGTAAGTTTTCCTGCTCGTCCTTGAACACCGCCCACTGACCTAGTGATCCGCGTGGTCGGACTTAAAGTAAGTCTCTCTCTGTTCGTTCCCTACTCGGACGTCGCAGCTAACATCGAGGTTTTTGTGCTCTAGGACAACTCCATCAGCGGGCGCAGACACGAAGATTCGCACGACAACACACCTTTGTGCATCCCAGAACGCCGCCCACAACCTGTCCGCCCTTGTAGGTGCATCCTCCCGTGTCTTCTTGAACCCAGAACGTTCAACACCGCTGCCCTTCCATCCCTGCCCCGTGCCACAACGACGGAGAGTGTTTGCGAAGGCCAGAACGTTGGTCAATAAACAATGCGAGGTGGGTTCCTTGCATGTTAGTCGGTCTCTGTTCGTTCCCTGCAGCTAACAGCAAGGTTTCTGTGTTCTAGGATGACTACGTCGGTGGCCGTGGACATGAAGATTCGCAGCGCCAACACACCTTTGGACATCCCAGAACACCGCCCACGACCTTTCCGCTCTCGTAGGTGATTCCTCCCGCCTCGCAGCTCGTCTTCTTGGACTAAGATCATTCGCCGCCACCCACGACGATGGAGAATGTTCTTGAAGGCCAGAATGTTGGTCAATAAACAGTGCGAGGTGAGTTCCCTGCATGTTCTTCTCGACACCGTGGCCAACAATGATGCTGGGTTTCCAGAAATGGATCATGAAGGTATTGCCCGATTCGTGTGGTTCGTATTCACCGTAAGCCCCTCAGTTCCCTCCTTTGTCGTCGCAACTGATGTTGAGCATGCTGTGCTATAGGGCGAGTACATCAGCGGGCGCGAACATGTACAACACCGTACGACCGATCTTTGAACGTCCCACTACTGGCCGACGTCGTCTGAACGAAACACGACAAACGTGGTAAGCACTCTGGCCCGTTCTCGAGAGATGCCCACTGACCTAAGCTTCCAGAGGTATTGCCTGGAATATTCCAAAAAATCACCGCGCAAAACAGCCATGTTTTCGCGCAAGGTGAAAGCCCCACCTGGGCTCCAAGGCGAAATATGGAACAAGCATTATTCGGCGTACGTCCATCTTCTCCCGCCCTACTCAAGATTATTGCTGATCCGTCCCTCCAGTTGACGGTTGTTGGCATGAAACATCCTGATGAGTGTCACGGTGTTGCACTTCAAGCTGTAGAATTCTGGTCGACTGTTTGTGAGGAAGAGGTTGATCTTGCTCTCGAGGCCCAAGAGGTGAGCAAGACAGATCTTCCTCTCGACACACTCTAACTCAAAGCCCAGGCTGCTGAATACGGGGACATACCTGAAACGGAATCCAGGTTTTTCGCCGAGATCGCCCTTCCTGAGAACATGCCCGTCCTCCTCCAACTCCTCACTCAACAAGAAGAGGATGCTGAAGAGGACGAATAGAATGTATCTATGGCTGCTCGTACCTGCCTCAGCTTGCTCGCCAGCACTGTGCAGGACGCCATCGTTCCCGCTGTTATCCCCTTCATCGAGGCGCACATCAAGTCCAGTGATTGGCATCAACGCGAGGCCGCCGTGATGACCTTTGGCTCAATCCTCGAAGGCCCTGACCCTGCAGTCCTCACTCTGCTTGTCAACCAGGCTCTACCCCTTCTCATTGACATGATGACGGACACGAATGTGCATGTCAAAGATACCACCGCCTGGACGCACGGTTGTATCTGCAACCTGCCTTCGAGCCGTACTTTGAGACAACGATGAATGTCTTGAGGCAAGCGGTGCCATCGAGCCCAACCCTGTAAGTATCCGTCCTTGAACCTTTATTCCCCGATCTGCATACTGAATAAGGGCTTTTGTTAAGCTCAACTACGATCTTGTCGATTTCCTCATGCACGATTTCTCACTCTTTCCCCAATGGTTCTACGAGGGCACGTCCCACCTACCTTTTGTCCGGAATTGGCCAGCTGCGCAAAGGTATCCTCAAGGCCTACACCAGCATGCGTCACTGGTTTGAAGAAGATCGAGAAGGTGAATATCATTATTCCTCACTCACCTTGGAGAGACAAACATGACAGAAACAGCCAGCGGTGTTGAGAACAGGAGTATCAGGAACTGAAGAGAGAGCAGGGCTGCAAGCTCTTGGTACACAGAGACGGTAGGTAGCGGTAAAGGTATTTTAGAAAAACTGTAACAAATAGCTGCGTATTATATAATACTGCACCGTCAATGATTTGCTAGGATTTGCGGCTTGTTTTCTGACTGCATTCAATTAATGGCTCTCATTGCGGCAGTGGGTCCAACGCGTAAGTCTTGTGGCCCTTCTTCCTTTACAATGTCACTTAAACAGCATCCTATCTAGTACCTCTTGAGCTGATTGATAAGATTTTCCAAATTGCAAGCCGGCGTGCAGCCACTCATCGCGAGCTGGACTTCTTGGTCCTTTGCTGCCCACATGCAAGGCGGACTATCCGACGGCCAACGGACGTACAACTCTTCACTGGAAAACAAATAAACCAACTCCTCAAGCTTGCTGCAAGTTTCTCTGCGGTCTTCCCATATTCTCTAACTCAGATTACATTTGCCGACCTCGAGCTTATCGAGCTCTTGGTGCCCACCAGAAAGGCAGAGCAAATGGCTTGTCTGAAGATCTTCAACAGTGTGAAGATTCGTGAATTAAACATTTGCTTGACGGACCTCACCCTACCCTATGATCACATGTTTCTGATACTGTTATCCTGGACGCCCGCCTTGAAGGATTTGCAAGTGCTTCGCGTCAAGTACGACTGGAGCTCAGTGCGTGTATTCTTCCTCCCTACCCATTGAACAGTTAATCAATTACTTGCAGGGTTGGGGTGAGGATGAGTCGTCTGCTGAGTCGTCTGCCGCTGAGTCAGGGGACGACTCGGATGCTGAAGAAGCTGTAGGTCAGAGTCAAAGAGGCCTGGAAGTACTCAGCAATGGGGGTTCAGTGTGTGCATCCTTCTTTGATGCCGCAGCAAATAATTTTTGAATCATTGTCCCATCGCTTATAGGAAAACAACCCGGATGGGTTTGAAGTACCAGACGACTCTCCCTGGAAGGGCTCAGCCTGGACCGACTGCATCCGAAAGCTCCCTCAACTTTGGATGGTGTCAATTGACACACCTCTCGCACTCTACACACAGCTGTCAGAACACAGCTGTCCTTGGATAGAGATGTGGGCGAACAATCACCCAAGACTCATGACTATTTACCTGAATCATGCCTATGATGATTCAATCGAAGTACGTCTAGACCGAGACTGGGGTGGTTGTACAATTATCTGCTGCCGCGCTGAAGGCAACCTCTCAACTTGGAATGTACGACCCTGGAGGCCATTCGATGATGATCGCGCTTCCTTCCCTTTCCCTCGCGGTTGCTTCCAGCAAACAAGGAGCGAGGACAGGGACAGGTTTGAGACAGA